CGATATCGGACTGTGTGATTAGGCAGCCCCCCCCCTTACTTACCCACTACACAAGCGGGTTGGCGCCGATCGATTCCTGTCTTGCGGCTTCCGTCCGCGTCTATATGATTGGAGCGCTGTTGCGATTGTGGAGCATCGTCGTGCATGATCGCGAAGAAGACTGCCTTACCATGTATATTTGTTATTTCGCAAAATGCAAATCGATGATTATAAACTGGTATATCTAACCTACTTTCTGAACAGGAAAGAGAATCACCGTATGGTCAATGTTCCAAAGCTCTCTTCGTTCCAGTAGTCACCTTCAAATTATACCTGAAGATGTAGTAGTCCGAAAATAAGTGGAAGTGAGCGCGTTCTAGTAAAGTGGTCAAAATGGGATCAGAAGGTTAGGACAGCGCCTGCGATCGCTGTTTGCTGTAGAACTGGAAATCATCAGACCAATGACAGCGAAGAAAAGTTAGATATTAGTGAAGAAAAAAAAGAAATCTAACAATCGAAAATGACCTGAGAACCCTGTTGCATTTGAGCGTTATGTTAGCATACGATGCATGTGGAAAAGAGGGGAACACCATGGTATGGCTGGATAGACAAGTGACCGACACTTCTTCGCCTTGTAATGGTGGTAAAAAGGAATAATGAAGGAGAAACCAGCTCATGAGGCGGAGCTAGCTTATAGTCGCGCCCTTATCAAGCGTTTTCGAGCCATGAAAGCAGGGCTAATGCCGTTTGGACTCCAGAAATTTCGGCTCGAGCTCATTTTAAAAGTGGCAAGATCACCAAATCCGCTAAAAACTTGTATATAGGGGTAATTCAACATCCTGATCACGAATATGACATTCATTTTTGGCGCTGGCGCTAATGGATGACACTACGTCCTCTGCTACTGCGTACTGCTTCCACCAATGGCAATGAAGGACTTTTGTACGTTGGATAATAGCGCACGCGGTTTTTGATGAAGCGAGTTTCATCAGAAACGGGTAGTAGCTAAAGTTCCAGTGGCAGAAATGCAGAACATAGCTTAAATTATGGCACCGTCACGTCGCGCCCAAACCTCGCGATAAAGGGCAATAAAATGATGACAAACCATCCTGAAGTGAGATAAAACCATGGTCCGGCGCTATTCCTGTAAAGTGGGGCGTTTTGTTGCAATGCAGCCAATGTACTTAAAACCATGACATACATCTTTTTCTATTACTGTTTCATTTATATAGAGATATACGTTCAAGAACAAGTAATGCCCACTTTATTACGAACAGGTGTCCGACAAAAAGCGAAAACCATAGCAAAAAAATGGTTCATCGACCTCAGCGCTCCTTCCCTCCTATTTTAAGGAGAAATTTGATGCACGTTACGTTTGCGGGCGCACCGAATGGCACAGAGCTATGCTTGCGCGGGCCACCTTATGAAAACCTGTAAGTTTCTGTGACCAAAGCGGCCCACTCCTACCATTTCGCAGCTTCACAGCAGTTTACAAGGGTCACTAAAAAGTGACCCTGTTATTCAACGTGGCTTAGAGGAACAAATGAGGAGAGCAAAATGCCCCTACCGAGCCGAACATCGCCAAAAAATCTTTCTAGCACACAATCATTTCTTCGCATCTTAACTGAATGCCTTTCATTTAAAACAGAGATGCTTCGAAAAAATTGTGTAGAAACAAAGAGCACGCAAACCGTTGTGCTAAAATGCCTCCAGTGCTGTAATAGTACCTCATGAACATACCACCTGTCCGCCATTGCACACCTTTTCTCGTTCATTTGAGCGTAGATCAGCAGAATAAAACATTTAAGTGACAATGGTGATTACGACGAGGTCCAAGGAAAGCGTCACATTCTCGTAGCACATAACATCTTTAACCCGAAGACTTCAAGCTAGAAGGACCAGCAGTATGGCCTTCTCCAAGCTACTTGTGATTTCCATTTCAAATTTTATGGGATCCATCCTCATGGGCTTCAAGTAACAAGCACTCAATGCAGCAACTGCGAAATCAGTGGAGAACGACAAGCAACCAGACGTTGAGCGACTGAGAGATAGCAAACGCGATAAATACCTCAAAAGCCGATTAGCAACACTTGGTCAGTAAACTATAATAGAAACCAAATGAACAAGTAATGAATACCGAAAACTATTTGAGTATTAAACAACGCCACATGGGAAAGTAGTGAAGCAATGAACTTCTGTTTCTGCACAGAACTCAGTTCAATAGATCATTCCTAGCAATCCATTGCCACTAATTTCAAAATCATCTAGATAAACGAAATGCAGATCCATCTCAGAAAGAAAATGAGATAAATATAACGAAAGCCGAGTATTAAAGCTATATGAAGATCAATTATCGATATTTTGAGTTCAAAGATGATGTGACAGCTTCGTGCAACCACCTTATGTTCGGTAAAAACTTTGATGGAAAACAACCAGACAAAAATAACAGCTAAACAGAGAAAAAAGCTTGGAAGTGTGAAGGAGAAGGTTGCGTGCGCCGCGCGCCGCAGATGACGGAAGAATGATTAGAGCGCGAAAACGTACGCTGTGTGCGTCGGAAAGATCGTTGAGGATCGGATGTGTCCCGGAAATGCTCCGTTTTGTGTGGATAATTACTGAAATGTGTAACTACAAATAAGGAAGATTGAGTCTGCTAATCCGCGCTTTCCGAAACGCTCCACGCGGTCGACTCTCATACTAAACCACGCTGAATTAGAACGAGTATATACCAAAAAAATCTCTCCTCATCCCCTCCCTCCCATAGAAGCCATACATGAGACGATTTTCAGCGCTTGATGGCGGGAAACTGAGCCCCCGCAAGTCACCGTATAGGTCAAGACGCACTCGAATCCCAAGCGACTTTGAAAAGAAGTAGAAATTATGGCGCATCACAAAAAGATCCAAGTCGAAAATTTGAAATTCACCCTTTATTGTCAGCTCGACTGATAATATGTGCATCTTGCTTATAACGACGACTGGAATGTATACTGCTCCGGCTTTTCCAGACAAAAGCTGGTCAGCCAAAGCAACCCTAATGGGAAGAGGGCTCAAGCGGTCCTCGTTTGGTCGCTGGGAAGGGGATCTATTAGGCATAGAGGCAAATTTTTTTGATTTTTGACTTTCCCCTTCACGCTTCGTACGCACTATATGCTTCCTGTTAGTTGGTGCAAAGCGGAGCTAGCATGTTAGCGATCAGAGGTGTTTACCGCCGCCCCCTCCCTATTAGCTACAGTTTTTTTCCCCAGAGAGAGTGGCAGAAAAAGGAAGGTCCGTTAAGATGGAAGGTCGATTGCGAAAGGGGGTCATAAAGAAGGAGGAAGTTGGGGTGGGGAGGTGGAGACGTGCATACAAACACCAGCACAGCCATTTCACCCATCCCGATGCTGCACCCCGTGCACACCACCTTTCACGTATTTTCACCTTGGTATCCCCCGGCAGTACTCATAAACGTGAATTAAGGAATGGAGAAATCAATCTTTCGGCGCAGCTCGGTTTGGTGGGGCATTAAATGGTACACAGCAAAGATTGTACAGGCCACCTTGTGAAGACCTGCGAATTCCTGTGAACAAAGTATGCAGGTAACTCGAGCAATTCCGCGGTTTCACAGAAGTTTCCAGGCCTGACAAAACCAAAGCTATCAGTCAATATGAAGTATCAAAAGGATCTAACGAAAGATCAAAATGCCCCCTCCAATCCGGACAACATCCAATGTTCAGATTACAGAACTTGCATTCCATGTAGGCGTTCCGCGACATAACAACGAAAGGACTAGTCTCCCTTTCCGACTGAGAGGATTTTGCATGTCAAAATCGTCACAGTCGAAACCTACCGTTGAGCTGTCCCATGTGACATTTTGTTCTTTATTGATTTACTTCTATAAAGCAGAATGACTGTAAACTACAATCTTTCCGTATCCACATCGCGTCCGTGGACATTCATTCGACTTTTCTTCAGGTTCGTTCCATTTGTGTGGAATAAAGAAAAAGTAAAACAAGGTTGAATTGGTAACTTCTGTTACTAGCGAGAGTCGAGAGTTTGTCAACAAATGATAACTTTCATTCAAAATTTTTAAATAAACTTTTTCGCACGTGCTGAACGTAAACAGTATCCTTATTGAGGACACCGGTGGCTTTTTTTCTGCGTCTTTGGGTGCAAATTATATTGCATATTGGTCAACACCATCGAATTGGCGGCATGCTCAGAGAGTTTATTGACGGCCATCATAAGTTATATTCTGGATGGTCCTTCCTTGTAATTAGAGAGGATAGTGTAGTACAACTGTGCTCGCTGTCCAAGACGAGCAGTCCGCGGGTTCATATTCCAGCGGTAAGCTCCTGACCCAGCCAAACAAGCCTTCCACCGTTCCGGACGGTTTAAATTATTGTAGTCCGGATTCGTCTGAGAGAAAAAAAACTGACTTGTACATGGCGCTGAATGCCGCTCATGGCATAGATTGCAAATGAGGCGCGCCCACTGCCATTGCTGAATAGAAGTAGAATGCGTGCGCAAACCTAAGAGGAAGCGATCAGCGGCGAATTCCACACTGGCTCCTTTGCAGGTTGATGTTTCAGCGGAGAAGCGGACTCTCAGATGGCCCAAGGCTCGGGGAAATTATCATGGTGGCCAAACCCGGACATCTGCCTAAGGCTCCGGACTTTCGAGAGTTGCTCAAAGGAGGTCCCTAGAGCGATATTGACCTAATGGTTGCAATAGGTTCACCCTTGGTCGAGGTGGAACTTTACTGAGAATGGTTGCTGAACTAAGCTCCATTGCTGATGTGAGCCTGCGCCAACAATATGCCCTGTTGTCCAGCATGTTTGACTAACTGGTTAATTCCACCTGAAACGACTCGAAATTGCACTTAGTGTCTGCTGACGGGTCATGAATCAAACTGGGCTTGTCTGCCAGTGGTCACAGCTATCAACGACTATGTAATCTTTTTCTGTTAATCTTCAAGAGATGTGCATGCTGATATCACGAGTTCTATTAGATAAGAAGGCAGTTATTCAGATGGAAAGGATCTGTATGGAAGGCAGTTTGGATGCAATATTTTATATGGCTTGGGTTATTCGCTTTTGTAAGTATGATATATCGCTTCGCACTCAGCGAACGGCAGCGAGAGTGAGTTGTAGTAAAAATCGTTCACAAAATTTGCCTGATCGGAGCGATCTGTTCACATGGCAACACCGCCATGTCATCAGGCGCAAAAGCGACCCTCCTGCCCCCCCCCCCCCGAGTTCTCTCCTCTGGTACAACATCCCTCCTCCATCCTACCTTATCATCTTACTGACATTTCTCAACCTGACAGCAGTTTTTCTAGAAATATCTCAGGTTCCCCCAAAATCCAAGCGGGCAGAGGGGGAGGTCGCCACCGAACAACTACTGAACTGAGTAGTATTTGCGTAGGACCATGATTCGCCATCAAGTGAAGGGAGGCTGCGTAGCACAGAAAAAATCTTCTTGAGAAAACTTTTCTTGAGCCTCACTACTACCCCTTAGAAAGCCGCCACCGAATACGATCCCTACCCAATGAGGATTCATCAGCGCACGAGGAGCGCCTGATTGCTACGTGTTGTCCCCGGCACTTCACGGCGAATTCCCGTTTACTTGCCCGTTTACTTACTTCATAGAGGTCAAACTGAAAACAGCGAAAATGGTGAGATACTGCTCAGATAAGAATTTCAACAGCCCCAGCTGGGTCAGAGATAGAAGATAATTCAAAAAAAAAGAATACACAACGCGCCCAGTACTGCGCTATGGGAAATGATAGCCTGGCAAAGACAAGTCGCTGCATGCAACCATCCGAGGACCGTCTTGCTAATTTGCGACGGCCGATTGGGCGTCCGCTCGAGCCTGTGGTAAAACGGTGCAGCTTTTCCACGATCAAAGATCATGCACGGGACTGGGCTGTAGGATAGTTCTACGAGAGCTGTCTCCACACCTCGCCTTCTATTCTCATGAGTCAGACAGTATGCATCGATACTGAAGCCCCACAAGCGAACACGTAACGCAGTGGTTGGAGCTCAACAGAGTGGAGAGTACGACAGGGATCGTGGCAGTTGGTTATGATTAGGCGTTTGACTGGCTGCGGCAGCGGGGCAAGTATGGGAGCACCGGACGGTAATCATTGCGCCGCAAGCTCCTTCTATGCTACACTCTTGCCCAGGGAAAGTGACCCCGCTTTGCACGAAACCGTCGTTAACCATTAGGGTGTCCCCCTCCCAAACGCTGGGAATTGTAGCAAAAGCATCAAGTTATTTCCAGAAGTCAGGTTTTGGGTGGTTACAATCACTCATAGTGAAGGCGGTACAAATTTGAGCAGAAACCAAAGCACTCGAATAAATGGGATAAGTCTCAGCACGGCAACGCGACCGCGCGCGGAGACCATTGGAGGCTCTTCTTCACGGTATTAAGAAGAAGGGATTGAAAGCATTCAATGTCAGCTTGTTCATTTGTCGATGTTGTGCCGAAGTGTTGTTCCATAAAGGAACTACTGAGTAGTATCGAACTGTATGTTCCAGTTAGGGTACCGCTTGCGAGTTCTCTTTCCTTCCTAGAAGATTCTTTTAGAACATTAACTTTACTCAAACAGGCTGATTTTATGAAACGGCTAATTTCTTCCTTTCGTTCAAGGGCGTTTACCTGCCTTGTCGATTTCACTAACTCCCGACTTTCATATATTCCACTTGATCTGATGCTTGGCTTTTTCGTGGCTGGTGTATTGAAGCGATTTTGGTATCTCTACAATATTATCGGATTTATGGATAAGTAAGAATTTGGCAATTTTTCTATTGCTTTACCATCTCTAGTTTTCACTGTAAGTGAACGAAGCAGAAATTCGTACACTCCATCCCCCGGAGATGGAGTGGGCGTGGCGGAGGCAGCGCATTTGGTGGGATATTGCTGTTTTGTGGCACTTGTTATAATGATTTGTCCGGCGGTTTTTGCCAACGTCATTGGTGGAAGGGCAGAAGGGGGTGTGGTCAAACGTCTTTTCGTAGCCCTTCAACCAATGAAGCTGGCAACAACCACCCGCCTCCAGCGATCCTGCCCATTGCTTTTTAATGGAAATATCCCAAAAAATATCCCAATAAAAATGCCTCCTAAGTCATGTTTAAAAGCAGCGTGGGCACGCCCTTCTTACATCCGGGTTGTGAAGTCTGTATGTCAAAATATTTAATATTCACCCTACCAACATTGACCTGGTTTCCATAAGTATCGTTCGGAGCTTCCTAAAGGCACATTGCACAGAAGCTCGTTAGGTGGAAAAATGAAAGTAGAACCACAGCTATTCTCTCCGTGCTCTTCTCCCTTACCGTATTAGAAAAAGGACGTGCCAATGAGGAAAGCACAGGGACAGGGTATCGTCGCCTATTTTATCGCCCGAACTGCTATTGTGCACTGTGCCTTGAATCGTAAAATGTTTGGCCATTATTTCATAGCAAATTCCAGCATCGCCTTGATGACTGCATTATACGTACGAGGCACCAACGAAAGAGCTCGCCAATACCGTCGTAATATCGTGCGATACTGCCAGCTCACTCAGGTACTTCACGGGTCTGTACAAATATAGAAAAAGTTCTGTGTAGTGCTATAGAATTCCGAATAACAGCGTCTTGTAGTAGCAAATAAAGGAAATGGAAATGTTTGCTGGATGAAATATGGCATATCTGTCTTTTTTAGGTCCTTGTTTTCCGTGATTTGTCAATGAAATGTCGTAAGCGTTTCCCGACGCTCGATACCGTTGCTGCAGCAGGTTTGTCAAATTATAAGGCATTTTTCGGCTATGAAGATTTGTTGGAGACCGCCGGCTCCAATAAATCTTCATAGCCATATATTCTTCCGACCAATGCTATAAATATACTCGAGTAATAAAGAAAGGAGGAAAATCAAAGAAGGCATGAAAATGATGAGCTCTGATGGAAAAAAGTGATAGATAGCGGTTCAGGGTTTATGATGCCACATGAGAAAGAGAACTTCGACGGAATACAGTACAACTATAACAAGTACTTTTTACCGTTCAATTGGGCATGGGCCTTGATTTATCGAGCGAGAAAGGAGGGACTAATTGAGAGCGACTACTATGTCACTATACTTTCCGAGGTTTGTTGTTCTTCTCACCTTTCCCAAAGAAGGGTTGAAGTTTAACGTCTGCGTTGATTACCTTGACAGTTTGATTAGCGTGGGTTATTGTATGGAGCTAAAACACGTCTGATCACTTCAGTGGTCCTGATGCAGAAGCTACGGCCGGCTCAACTTGTTTGGTGGCTGAAGCTCATAAAGCAATCGGAGCTCCCTGCCACAAGAACCTCTAAGAATTTTTCAGGAAGTGAAAAAGTTTCGTACTGACTTGGCATGGTTGTGTAATTATGACTGGGTACCGTTGCCGATGATTTATCCGACAATTGTCTGTCTAGCCGTACACACCTACTTTTTGGTAGGAGTAATCGCTAGACAATATGTCGAAGGTTCAGTTTACGAAAGCGATATGGTGAGTGATTACTGGTAATTCTGCCATACTTATGATTACTTTTCAACTCACTGGTTTGTAGTGAACGCGATATTAATATCGTCAAGTTAAAGTCACTTTCTTGAGAAATCCTAGGCACTGGGGCCCAAAAAGAACTGTCTGTATTAACTGGTTTACTTTTGAGGATGAAAACAAAATATTAAAGCTGCCATGGAAAGGTCTCTCTTCTATCAGTTGACCATAATCAACTGGACGAGCTAGCTGTAATCAAGATTAACTGCAAAGGGAGGAATGTGCGACGGTGCATCTAAAAACGGTGAGGCAAAGCACCAGAAAACAATCGTCAATAGAACTCAGGCGGCATTATGACAAGGGCCTCGTGAGCTTAGGTCGTCGAGATGGCTAAGCCTGCGACTATCCTGCGCAGTTTTGAGTGCGTGCTGCGTAGTCGAAAGCATGCGCATCGATCGCGTTGACGCGACCTGAAGAAGGCGCTGCAAGTCGCGAAGTCTGAACGCGCCCTTAGTGGTGTGTGAACGCACGTTAACCTGCTTGAGAAGCGGATTGAACATTTCGCTAATTCCGGAATGTCCAATCCCCACCCCTCCCTCTCAAGTAGATATCGTTTAGTTGGGTGGATCATCTCATGGATAACCCGGCTACAAGTATATCCTCCCAGAACTACTTTTGTTTTTTCTTTCTTGAAAGCCCTCCGGAGCTTCATACATCGGATTTTGTGAGATACGCAGTGTGTGGTGGCCAGGCCCGTAGGCGCCGTTTTCATCGTTTCAATGGAGGGGAGGTGTGGGCTGTTTTAGCCCTGCTACCGTTTCGGGACTTCACAAGGTGTTGCATGTGCGTCGATGCTGAGGTCTCGCAGCGAATAGCATCAACGACAAGCTCCAGACGTGCTCTCGCTGCGAGGGTCCAGGGGTATTTTCTCGAGACATCAACTATCCCAGTAGTTTAAGGGAGAAGTTATAGGAGGAGGGAACAGAGAAGGAAAGAAGGAAGGAGGAAGAAAAAAGGGGAAGAGACGCAGAACGCTTCCGCGTTTGAACAAGGCCCTGGACAGTTTGTGGCGGGCCTAGTGTTTTACTTGCGGGTTGACTACGAAAGGGAGCTTTTAAATTGGTCACATACCTCCACGAGCCTACATCTTGTGTGATGAAAATGGAACTGGGCACTTCTAACACGCTGTGATCCATTCACGGAGCTGCACATGGCAAGCGAAATACGAAATCTTCAAACGTGAGAATAGAGCGTGTCGTCCAACATCGGAGGAACCATCCTTAGAGCTCACAAGATGGCAGCATGACTTAGTTCAGAGCTTCAGAGCCTTGTAGCCTTCACTGGAACTTCCAGCCACTGAATTATCATTTTCCATTACCTCTAACATCAGTCATTTTCTCGGTAACCTATCAACACTTGGTTTCAGATAGATATGGTCTTTCCATTCATGACCAGCATTCAATTTGTGCTCTATATGGGATGGTTGAAGGTTTGTTGATCTTTTATTGAAATCAGTGCTACTCAAGTGAGGGGTTGAGGTGGGCAACGCGTGGCTCACTAATCAATTGCTCGTTCGAACCGCGACAGATTCAGCCTCAGAAACAACAAGCGACTGGCCTCCCGATGCGGGTAAGCGCGCTTGACGATTTTAGAAGACCGCGGGTGCTCATTACCGCTTGACGCTAGTTCCTCGTGCCAGGGCTGACGCGCTGCATCGGCCCAAACTTGCATCAGGTTCACGAATTCCTATTCCCGCCCCTGGTTAAATGCTCGATATGAAGCCTCTAGTATGTGCTTCATGACGCTGAACAGGCGGACAGTCCCGTGACCATCGCGGCTTGGCCCGTCGCGTTCTGGTTGTTCGCCGCCAGAGGGTCGAGATCGGCATCACAGGTGTTGAACCAGTGAAAGTGCGGGTTGCAGCTGGTAGCGCAACATGCGAACGCTGCGCCACTAGCGTGTGCGGTCGGCAATTCCGCGCGCAGCGCACGCTGTTTGGGCTTTGCTACACTGGAATTTTCTTACCAACTTTTTATCAACTATCTAAGACTTCAAAGGTCGCCGAGGCGTTGCTCAACGCCCGTTGGCGTGAAGACTGATGACGACTTCGAGACCAACGTTATCTCTTGACGACTTAGCGTTGTTTACTTTTATGCAAAACACAAGTGCACTGAACGAGATGATAGCGAGAAACCTCACGAGATGAAGCAGAATTAGATGGACTGAGACCATCCGTGTTAACTCAAACGTCAAAATTCGTTTATTTATCTCTTACTAGTGCATAAACAAAATTATCAGATGGATTTGCAAATGTCGATGAAGGGTACGGCGAACACTGAACTGAAAAGGATCGGCCCTTTTTGGACCGAAGGTCGAATGGGTTTCCACGGCTTGTCGCTGTATTCGAAGAGAGTGCTGAGGAGAAGGAATACTCACATGAGCGCATGCTCGTCACATCAAGTAGGGTGAACGCCCTTCGATAATTGAAGTTCAGGTTGTCTTCAAAATAGAGAATCATGAATTAAAGGAAAAGTCAGACCAATTTTTTAGAAAAGTGCATTGGCAGAAGCTGCGTCCTTTCGCATCTTGAAAGCGGGTGGTACTGCGGTCCTTATCGACCCCGCCTGACACGCTGGGGCTCGATCAGGTCGCGCCCAGAGTGCCCTTGGTCACGTTGCGAATCTCTCCACCCGGCCACAGCGAGCGGTGAAACGCCCACTGGCATCCGCGTGGGCAGTGATTCTGCTCTTGCCTTCTGGACTATACATCCTAAATATTCGATTTTTTCAAACACGCATGCCATGTCCGCCATAGACAAATACCAGTAATCCGAGTGCCAGTAAAGGAATACTCCATCTGACCGTTTCTCAACGTCTTCCTGTCGGCAGTCGCTCCTCGGCCATTGAATGAGATTTTGCTGTCCTGCCCTGCCACATAAAATAGCTCTTTCTGGACCTCCACTCGTTCGTGGGAATTTTCCCTCAATGTCAGTTCTTCGGCGCAGAACGCGATGCTTACATTGAAGTCTTGAATTCCTTCAGGTTGGCCCATCAGTCTTCAACATCCGTATGGTCCCCACTCAAAGGAATGATCAAGCGAAGAGTGTCGCGTAGACGTATTCAGCTCGCTATTGGAAAAGAATTGTGCAGTGAAAATGTAGTTGAGTAAAATTTGGGTTGAGGGTAGTTGGAGGTTGGGGGGAGGGAGAGGTGGCAGTCGACAGCAAACTAGCCGCCTGCTTTCTCTGTCTGCACTTTCTGGACGGGCTCTCACCTTGCCACTAACGCCTTCGATAACCGGTACTGTGTGAACTTTTGTGAATGGTCCCAGTCGGACCCTCCTCGCACGCAGCTTGAATGCAAAAAAGCATGTGATGGCCAGAAGTTAGGCTTTCGTTTGAGGGAGGTGCGAGATGAGTGAGCCACGTGTGAAAATCTGAATTATGTGAGGTCATAGTGGTCGTGCAAGGCCGTGCAGCACGAGAGAGAGGTGGTAGAGAAAAACAGAAAATCGTCCCGGTTTAGTTCAAGTGGTCAAGAGACCTCTCTTTTCCAAGTTGGCCTCAAGCACACCCTAAGATTTGTCTGCAGGATTATTTGAAGGAACATAGGCAAGGAGACTCTTGTTGCAGTTAAGCCGCCAAACGAGCCGATCGTCCATTGGATCCTTCATCAGTCGTCATCCAAGTTGAGCTTCCACGGTGATGACAAGGTTTGTTCGCCTCTTTTCGATCTTACATTTAGTACTACAGAATTGCGAAAAATAGTTGACATCGTTCACAATCTAGTCGGAGGACTTTTTGACGACCGTCATGGCACGCTTCTTGTCCCCCCCCCCCCCTTCATTCCTTCCATGCCGCAGCTTTCGCACCGATAGGTTGCTTTTTCTTAATAATCTTCTCCGCCTGACCAAACACGACGGCTACAGAAAAGCAGTACTCCTCGCTGACGAAAGCCCACTGATTGCGAAGATGTCAGCTTCAGGCGCGGTCTAGAGTCCAGATAACAGAGAAATAACTGTGGGCAGGGGTTTTAAGAGACGTGTTCCGTATTGTCCTAATCTCCTGTACTCTGGAATACACCTGCATCTCACTTTTTCGTAGCTTTCAACCCGTCATACTGTTTCTTTCCTTAACTTTACTCTTTGCTTTCATTTCACGCACTGATTCAGATGTCGCGGAAAAACTCCTTAGCGAACTTCCTGAGCGGTTTCCGACAAACCCCGAAGGAGACGCCGATTCGTATGTCGGCGTGCGACGGAAGCGAGTCAGCAACCGCTAGCGCGACGGCAGGAACGACAGTTGCCCCCGAATGAACATCGACTTGTCGTCAAGCGGATCGGCATTGAATCATAGCGATAGCAACATTATAAACGACCCATCACGGTCAAATAGTAGTGCTCGACTGTCACGAGTGATGTCCGACGAGAGCAATGGCGGTATGCAGATGTTCTCGATCGGTGACCACGATATTCGCATTGGTGAGTAAAGAAAGGACTTTTCCGATTTCCGAGTTTCGTTCGCTTTCTTTTCAAACATTTGATCGTGAACTAACTACGATTTACTAGAAATAAGATTGCAGTCTAGGTAAGCCGTGTCAATTAGAAGCTATACAGCTGTCAACTGATCACATGAAGACACGTTTTGTAATCGCTAGTTGGCTGCCCGCGGACAAAACCGTCGAAGTTGTCCTATATAAGGCCCCAGAGGACAAGCATCCGAAGAAGCGAGACAATGTTGCACTGGAGAGAGACCACAGATAATGGACAAGAGACAGACACGCTTTCAAACATATGTGTACACAAAGCCATTCATATCTGTGTGAACATAACTCGTCCCAAATGGGTGGGGCTCCTTCGGCGAGTAGCGTTCCTTCGGTGATACAGCTGCTGCGGCATCCTTACGTCAGAAGCGTAGCGTAGAGGCAAGTGGCGCCTCAGCCACATGAACGGTCCAAAGACAGCCCCGCGCTCAAGTAGTACATGGTCGTCCTTCCTTGTGCAGGTAGTTCAGCCCCCAAGCTAGAGACTATCCCACTCTCGCGACTCCACAGTGAGCGAGGAGCGAGCTACAGCCGCTGAAAGTTCTAGTTCTAACGCCCGCCCAGTTGGACCGCCCACTTGCTAGATGCCCTCTGACGGAGAGCCGCTCAGTTGTTCTTTGTTGGGACGCGGCGGGCATTAAT